CCAGCTTCCAGCCATCCTCCGTCTTGATCTGCAGTTGCTGCTGATACCACCTGTAGTGGTGCCCTCGTGCCCTCACCCTTTCGGGCACTGTCTCATCTTCCTCAGTTTCTCCCTTCAACCACTCCATTGCCTTTGCATCCTGCCAGATGTCAGCTGGCCCCTTACTCCCTTTTGCCCCAGCCTGCTCCACCTCTCTTACCAGCATGATCAAGGTTTGCGCTGGCTCCTGCTCTGTCCCTTCCGTCCCCTGTGCTGCCTGTTCAGTCTCTAGCGGCGGTGGGTTGCGGGAAAGGCCGACAACGTGCTGCAGTGTCTTCCCCGGCCTGTGCCTGATCTTGAAATCGTATTCCTGCAGCTTTACTGCCCACCGCGCATTCCTCCCTGTCAGCCCTGGCGTCGTCATCAGCCATGTGAGTGGCTGATGGTCCGTGACTAATGTAAACTCTCTGCCCTGTAGGTACACCCGGAAATGTCCTACTGCCCACACTGCCGCCAGCCCCTCTCCAATGTATGAGCTGTACTGCGCCTCCGCTGGGTTGCAGCTTCTGCTGGCGTAGGCCACCACCTTCTCCACTCCCTCTACTTCTTGGCACAGTATTGCTCCCATCCCCTGGCTGCTCCAGTCGGTGTAGAGGATGAAGGGCTGGTCTGCTGCTGGCAGCCGCAGTACTGTTGCCGTCTTCACAGCTGACATGAGGTCTTGCAGCGCCTCCCTCTGCTTCTCTCCCCACTCCCATGCCTTGTCCTCTCGCAGCATTCCGTTCAGTACCGTCGCTCTCTTGCTGAAGTTCGGCACAAAGCGTCTATAATAGCTGAGGAAGCCCAAGACTGCACGTAGCCCTGACTTGTCTCTCGGTTCCCTCAGCCTGTCTAGCACCTGCACCTTCGCTTGCTGGATCCCAATCTGCCCCCTTGTGACCTCGTACCCCAGGTACTGCACCGTCTGCTCCCCCCACCTGCACTTGTTGGGGTGACACGTGAGCCCTGCCTCTTCTATGGCCGTCAGTGTCCTTTCCACGTCCTCCAGGTGCTGCTGCTCGGTCAAGCTGAAGATCACGACGTCGTCGATGTAGCATGCTGCGTGCTCTATCCCCCGCAGCACCGCGTCCATGACTCGCTGGAACACCGCCGAGGCGTTCCTCAGACCAAAGGGCATGTACAGCCACTCGTACAGCCCATCCGGTCTGTGGAAGGCCGTTTTCTTCACATCTTCTTCTCTGATCTTGATTTGATTGAATCCCTGGCGCAGGTCCAGCGTCGTGAAGTACACCCCGTCGGCGAGCTTGTCAAAGAGCTCTTCTGCCATCGGCATTGGGTACCTATCCGGCACTGTGATCTTGTTAAGATCCCTATAATCCCCGCACATCCTCCGGCTCAGCACCTCGCCTGTTAGATCCTTCGTGGCTGCCACCACGGTCGGGGTAGCGTACTCAGACTCTGATCTCCTGATCAGTCCAGCCTCCAGTAACTCCTTTATTTTCTCCCTGCAGATCGCCTCGTCCCCTGGTGGCATCTTCCTCCTGCGGTGGAACACCGGCTCGTCACTGTTCAGCTTCAGTGCCATCTCCTTAATCTTGCATTTCCCCAACTCCTGCAGGGTGAAAGCAAAGCCCTTCCTATGCTTAACCAACAGTGTCCGCATTGCTGCCTTCCCTCCCTCATTCATACTCTCACCTATCTTCCACTCAGGCTCTTCTTTCGGCAGGCAGGCCCACACCCCTTGCCTCACCGTCGCCACGGTGTTTTCTCCCTCCTTCAATCCCCACTGCAGCACTGTCTCTTTCCACATCCGCTGCACCAACCACCTCATCATGTACCCATCCATGGCATTCCCCGATGCCCGTCGCCGTTCCTTCTCGCTCACGCCAGGGGCTGCTGTGGCGTTCTCCTTGTATCCCATGGCCAGCTCCCTCTCCAAAGCCGTGGGCTCTTCCCACTGTCCCTTCTTGTGGTCATGCACCAGTTCTGGGTCTGGCTGCTTCCCATTCATCTGATAGCCTGCTGCCCCCTCATATGACACCAGGGTAGGCAGTGCCTGCCTCTCCTGTCCCACTTGGTTGCATGGATAATGCCTGCTGTAACCCTTCTTGGTCACTGGTGCTGGTGTTCTTCCTGGCTCCAATATGTCGCTCAGCTTCCGTCCCCCAGCTCTCTGCACCCCTTCTATTTCCTTCTGCAGGACTTCAGCTGGCACCACGTTCTACCAGTACATCCTGAGCCTGTGCGCATATGCTCCCATCTGCGCCGCATCACTGCTCACTCCTTTCCCCACCTGTCTGGTCACTCTTTCCCTTACCAGTCTAATCGGTTCTCTCACGTCTCCTTCCATATCTAGGTGCTCCAGCAGGTAGGCCACTCTGCCCTGCCTGGCCTGCACCCACTCCATGACTCTGAACAGGTCCTCCATCAGTTGTGTCCGCAGGTCTTGCTCACCCTTGCCCTTCCCTGCCCATGATACCCCTTGGCATTCCCACCCTGCCACCAACAGGTCCACGTGCCCCCAGCTTGCTACCTCAGCTTCCGTAATGGCCCTTACATCATTCACTCCTCTGCTCATTGCTGCCTTGATCACCTCTCCCTTCAGCAGTTCCGGGAACTCTCTATGTAACTCCCATGCCTGATGCTCTGCCATCTTCCTTACTTCTGGTGCTTTCTCCACATAAATCCACTGCTTTACTGCAATTCCATTTTGCACCACTGCTGCCAGTCCCGCCCCTATTCCCCCGAACAGCTCCACTAGCCGTATGGGTTGCCGCCAATCAGTCTGCTGGCTAGGCTCGTCCATGAATCGCATCCTGGGCTCCCCACCTTGTCCCATGCCTGTTGCGGCCTTCTGTGCCCCCTGCTTCGCTGTCATCTCCTTCAGGTCTGCCCTGTAGGCCCTTTTTGGCTCGGTCCTGACGAACTGCACTGGCAGCTGCCCCAATGGCTCACCCTTCCTCCACCACCTGGTTCTGAACTCCACTGTCTCCTTCCAGAAGCAGATGGTCATGCCCAATGCGAAGATCATCTCTGTGCCCACCAGGACGTCGAAATCCTCAGACTCTGAGATCCCGCACCTGATTCTAACTGGTGTCTCATGCTTTTCTCCCTTCAGCACCGTCAGTTCTATTGGAGTCCTTGTGCAAGGCATCCACTTTGACTCTCCCCCCTCTGCTGTCATCACTAGCATGCCCTTCACCACATGCCTGTTTGCTGCCCACAATCCCAGCCTCTCAGCCATCCCTTTTCCCAGTATCACGCTCTGCGCTCCCGTGTCTATAATAGCTGTCTTAGCCTTCTCCCCTTCCACTGACAGTGCACCGCTTTGGATCAGCAGCACAGAAGTCTGGCAAGCCAACCTCTCCTGTGGGTGCCATGCCGCTGTGCATCTTTCATCCTTTTCCTCCGGCTTCTGTCCTCTCTCCCTCTCCTTTCTCGGCTGCTCCTTCCATGCATCCTTTCCTCCGCTGCGCAACCCCATCTCCTCTCTCCCTCGCCAAGCCATGTACGCGGGCTGTTCCTCATGCTCCACCTCATTCTCTCCTCTTCCCGCCCAAACCTGTCAGAGGTCCACTGGAGATCCCCGATGATCCTAGGGAAGGGTTACAGGCATGTTGGCCTGGGGGGTTATGGGCGCACTCACCCGCTACACAAACAAGCCCTTTTATCCCAGTGGTTAGTGGCTGGAATTCTGACATGGTATCAGAGCGAAGGTCTCGGGTTCGAATCCCGGTGTGTGCACCTCGGGCATCCCAGTGCGGGGGGGTGTCAGAGGTCCACTGGAGATCCCCGATGATCCTAGGGAAGGGTTACAGGCATGTTGGCCTGGGGGGTTATGGGCGCACTCACCCGCTACACAAACAAGCCCTTTTATCCCAGTGGTTAGTGGCTGGGATTCTGACAAAACCATGAACGCGGCTTCCTCATCCTGCTCCACATCTTCTTCTTCTTCTTCTTCTTCCTTGGCGCTTTCCCTGCCTCAGCTTCCCGTCGTGGCCCCATTGCCTGCAGCTGGGCTTGCAACCTACTGATCTGCTTCTCCAGATCTTCTGGTGACTTCTTCGCCGCTCCCTCTCGCTGGTAGCACTCCTTTGCCGCATGCCCTCCTTTCCCACAGACTTCACACTTTGGTGCCGTTGGACATTCCCGCCGCCGATGTCCTGGCTTGCCACAGGAGTCACAGTTCTTGCAGTCTCTGCGCAAGTGTCCTGGCTGCCCGCATCTGTGGCACGTCCGTGTGTCAGGCCTGGTCTCCCCTCTTCCCGCTGCCCTGTCCTTTTCTTCCGGTATCATGGCAGCAGCCCATGTAGGTCCCCTGCCTCGATCCGCCTGCCTGGGCCTGTATGCCTCATATTTCCTCTGCGCCAGCTCCATCTTCTCTGCCAGTTCAAACACCTCCTCAAGCGTTGTGTCGGCCCCCATCTCATACACTTTCATTCGCAGTCCACTTCCCAGAGTGCCCTCCAGTCCATCCAGGAATTTACTCACGAGCAGAGCCATATCTGCGCAGGCCACATCCTCTGCCAGATTGACCAGCCGGTTATAGTAGGTGAGTAGTGACTCGCCCCATCCCTTCCTGAAATCCTGGAACTCCCTGATCTTTTCTGCAGTGTGGCCTGGAAACTGCCGCTTCAGCCGCCCCAGGAACGCTTCAGTAGGATCTTCCCCGTACCTTCCTGCCCTGTCCAGTAGCTCATCCATCCTCATCCTGTATAATGTCTCCGCCTCCCCTTCCAATGTGTTGGGCAGGCTCAGGAAAAAGTCCACTGAGTCCATGCTGCTCCGTTCGCATCGGTATCGCACGTTGCCCACCTGCATCAGGTAGTTCTTCAGCGTGGGGCCCGTACGCTGATCTCCAGAGAAGCGGGCTGGCACTTCCACTCTCGTGGCCATTGCCGTGCTCCCCTTGCCTTCTCCCCATGCCTCGCTCGGCCCTCCTGCTGATCTCTCTGCTGCTCCTCTCTCTCTCGCCCGTAGTATTCCTTCCCTTGCCTCTCTGGCCCGCTCCAGGCTGTGCATCAGCCCGCTGCCTCCCTCTCTGCTGTTGCGTTGATCCCGTCCTCCCTCACTGCCACGTCTTTCGTCACGCTGCCTGTACCGATCAGGTGAGCGATATCCAGCGCCGAGCCCCTCATCCCTGCTCTGTTGCCGAAGCTGCGAGTCGTATCCGCCTCCCCGGCTTTCTCCATGTTGCCTGTGCCAGTCGGGCGAGCGCGCATCGCTTCCCCACCTCTCTTCATGATATCGTTGCAGGTCAGGCGAGCGGTAGCCGCCTCCGCGTCTCTCATCACGAGGGTAACGAGGACCTGGAGAGCGCAGCTCCCCTCCGCTTCTCTAGTTGTGATACCTCCGCGGATCCGGTGAGCGTACACTTCCCCCGCGTCCACTGTCCTGGTGCTGCCGTGACTCTGGTGAGCGGTAGCCACCTCTGCGCCTGTCTTCATGCAGCTGCTGCCGCACTGGCGAGCGGTAGCCGCTTCCATGCCTCCCGTCCTCATGCAGGAGACGTGATTCTGGTGAGCGTGCACCGCCACCTCGCTCCCCGTCACGATTCTGCCGCCGATCTGGCGAGCGCGTACCGCCGCCACGCCCCCCTTCCCCATACATCCGCGGATCTGGCGAGCGCGTGCCTCCGTCGCGTCCCCCACCACGATTCAGCCGAGGCTCTGATGAGCGCGCACCGCCGCTGCATCCTCCGTCTCTACTCAGGCAGGGATCAGGCGAATTTGCGCCGTCGCCACGTCCCTCGTCTCGCTGCCGACGCGGACCTGGAGAGCGCGCGCCACCGCCACGCCCCCCGTCGTCGCCTTCCTCCCCGTCGCGCGGCAGGTCTCAAGTACCGCCTTTTCCGTGCGTCTCCGCCGTGCTTGGCTCCGCCACCACGCCCGTCTGCGCGGGATCGCCGTCATCAACTTCAGCGGGCATAACGCGCTGCTCGCCTGCGCCTTGATCTTGGGATTCGTCATCGCCCTTGGTCTCGCCATCACGCGTCGTCTCCCGCACTCGATTCGCCGAGTCGACCTCGTCTTTTCCATCCACATCAAGATCGCCCTGGCGACCCGAGAAGAGCTCCTCCAGGCCTCGCCGGCGACTTCTGTCTTCACGACGGCGATAACCTTCCTCCGGCGAGCGATAAGCTCCCGTCTCCTGGCGGTACCCATGACCGCCATCGGCTCCTCGGCATCCGTCCGTCCGCCATGGGTCGCTTCCCATCGTGGCAGACCCAGATCCGCCTCCCCCTTCTCGTGCAGATCTTCCCTCCTGGCGATCTGGCGCAAGGGGGACCTGATCCGCGCGAAAGGCCGGCCACCGCGTCGATCGCTCAGGCCGCCGCGGCGACCTCTCCAGCGACCGCCCGCGTTCACGTGAGCGATCGCGCCGCGAGCAATCCTCCTCACGGCGACCGTAATTCCTGCCGTAGCGCAGCTCGTACACATCCATGCTTGTACGCGCACCCTTTCTGTTAGTTATGAAAGCGATGTAACCCTCACCTCAAAGGTCCTCCCTGAGTGGTGTGCCACCTGTCTGTAAAGCTTAGGTAACAACAGTCCACTATACGAAAGGATAACAAACAGAAAGCATTGTGTGTGTGTGTGAGAGTGAACTTACCTGACCCTGGCTCGAACCGTGCATTTCTCAATGTGCGGCTCGAGCCTGGGTTGGTTCGTTCCCATTGGTTGCATGGATTTCACCCCTTGGTGCTCTCCTACCAACTTCGTGGCAATTTCCCAGCCCCCCACCTACCCATCCTCGAATCTGCAAGTTCAACATAGCTACACCAACACTACACCTCCTTATTACTGGCACCTGATATGCACAATCGTACATATTCGGTGACACAGGTCTTAACCATTTGGATATATGAAATTTGGCAGATACAAGCATTGCAGTCATACATGGTACCTTCACTACAGGCGCGCATACCGACCAAACAGACAAGCGCACTACTTATGTCTGTAGAGATGCAGTTAGTACCATTTTCTTGTCAGACCATTATATAAGGCCTTCTACTTCAACATTACTAGAATCTAAGCTATCCGATCCACATATTTTAAGAGATTTCAGAGTTTTAGCTCCGCCTTGTACCTGCACACAAGCGTGCATACTGATCGAACCGACCAATGCATTATTTCCACTGTAGGCATATAGGGATTACCATATTTTTTCCCAATTCCTTTAACTGATACTATTCCCCACCCCCCTACTAGGTTTTAACCTTTTGGATCTATGTAATTTGGCAAGTATAGGCAATACATTCGTACATGGTACCTTCACTACAGGCGCGCATACCGACCAAACAGACCAGCGCATTACTTATGTCTGTAGAGATGCAGTTAGTACCATTTTCATGCCAAACCATTAGATTAGGCCTTCTACTTCAACAACACTAGGTTTCAACCTTTCCGATCCACATATTTTGAGAGATTTCAAAGATTCGGCTCCGCCTTGTACCTGCACACAAGCGTGCATACTGACCAAACCGACCAATGCATTATTTCCACTGTAGGCATACAGTGATTACCATATATTTTCCCACTTCCTTTAGCTGATACTATTCCCCACCGCCCTACCAGGTTTTAACCTTTTTGATCTATGTAATTTGGCAGATACAAGCATTCTGGTCATACATGGTACCTGCACTACAGGCGCGCATACCGACCAAACAGACCAGCGCATTACTTATGTCTGTAGAGATGCAGTTAGTACCATTTTCTTGCCATCCCATTAGATTTGGCCTTCCACTTCAACAACACTAGGTTTTAACCTTTCCGATCCACATATTTTGAGAGATTTCAGAGTTTCAGCTCCGCCTTGTACCTGCACACAAGCGTGCATACTGACCGAACCGACCAACGCATTATTTTCACTGTAGGCATACAGTGATTACCATATATTTTCCCACTTCCTTTAACTGATACTATTCCCCACCACCCTACCAGGTTTTAACGTTTTAGATCTATGTAATTTGGCGGATACAAGCATTCTAGTTGTACATGGTACTTGCACTACAGGCGCGCATACCGACCAAACAGACCAGCGCATTACTATGTTTGTAAAGATGCAATTAGTACCATTATCTTGCCGGTCCATTAGATTAGGCCTTCTACTTCAACAACACAAGGCTCTAACCTTTCCGATCCACATATTCTGAGATATTTCAGAGTTTCAGGTCCGCCTTGTACCTGCACACAAGCGTGCATACTGATCGAACTGACCAACGCATCATTTTCCGTGTAGGCATACAGGGATAACCATATATTTTACTAATTTCTACTGATACTATTCCCCATCCCCCTACCAGGTTTTAACCGTTTTGATATATGTAATTTGGCAGATACGAGCATTCCAGTCGTACATGGTACCTGCACTACAGGCGCGCATACCGACCAAACAAACTAGCGCATTACTTATGTGTGTAGAGATGCAGTTAGTACTATCTTCTTGCCAGTCCATTAGATTAGGCCTTCTACTTCAACAACACTAGGTTCTAACATTTCCAATCCACATATTTTGAGAGATTTCAGAGTTTCAGCTCCGCCTTGTACCTGCACAGAAGTGTGCATACTGAACGAACCGAGCAACACGTTATTTGCTCTGTACGTGTACACGGATTGGTTTAAATTTGATTACCATATATTTTCCCACTTCCTTCAACTGATACTATTCCACACCCTCCTACCAGGTTTTAACCTTTTGGATCTATGTAATTTGGCAGATACTGGCATTTCAGTCGTACATGGTACTTGCACTACAGGTGCGCATACCGACCAAACAGACCAGCGCATTACTTATGTCTGTAGAGATGCAGTTAATACCATATTCTTGCCAGTCCATTAGATTAGGCCTTCTACTTCAACAACACTAGGTTCTAACCTTTCCGATCCACATATTTTGAGAGATTTCAGAGTTTCAGCTCCGCCTTGTACCTGCACACAAGCGAGCATACATATCGAACTGACCAATGCATCATTTCCACTGTAGGCATACAGTAATTACCATATATTTTCCCATTTCCTTTAACTGGTACTATTCCCCACCCCCCTACCAGGTTTTAACCTTTTAGATCTATGTAATTTGGCAGATACAGGCATTTCAGTGGTACATGGTATCTGCACTACAGGCGCGCATACCGACCAAACAGACCAGCGCATTACTTATGTCTGTAGAGATGCAGTTAGTACCATTTTCTTGCCAGTCCATTAGATTAGGCCTTCTACTTCAACAACACTAGGTTCTAACCTTTCAGATCCACATATTTTGAGAGATTTCAGAGTTTCAGCTCCGCCTTGTACCTGCACACAAGCGTGCATACAAATCGAACCGACCAACGCATTATTTTCTCGGTAGGCATACATGGATTACCATATATTTTCCCAATTCCTTTAACTGATACTATTCCCCACCCCCCTACCAGGCTTTTTACCTTTTGGATTTATTTAAATTGTCAAATACTGGCGTTCCATTCGTACATTGTCCCTACACTACATGCGCATATACCGACCAAACAGATCAGCGCATTACTTATGTCTGTAGAGATGCAGTTAGTTCCATTTTCTTGCCAGTCCATTTGATTTAGCCTTCTACTTTTACAACACTAGGTTTCAACATTTCCGATCCCACATGTTTTGAAAGATTTCAGAGCTTCAGCTCCGCCTTGTGCAGGCACACAAGCGTGCATACAGACCGAACCGACCAATGCATTATTTCCACTGTAGGCATACAGTGATTACCATATATTTTCCCACATCCTTTAAAACCGAAATATAAAATAGTGAAGGCAGGTCCAACTTGAAAACGTGTTCCGACGAAGCGAAACAAGAACGGTGTGTTAAGAGAACTAGGCAAGAATGGTGCATTGAATGGAAGAATTGGGTACAAGTAGCAAACCCTAGTTGGGGTTGTACCCCATATTGGCTACCCCACTACAGCCTACAAGCATAATATAGTTTAACACACCCCCATAGGCAAAGTGGGGGAGAACAAAGGGTCACAAGACCAGTCCAGCAAAGCAAAGCAAAGCCCAGGGTGGATCACAACGTCACCACACTCCGAGCACAAGCAAAGGCCACAAGGCCAGTTCACATGCAGTGCTAGATATAGTACAAGACAAGCAACAAGATATATATAAAGTACAGTACAAAGAATGTCAAGCAGTGAGCAAGTGAGGAAACGTGGACACAAGGCCTAAAGAAGTACAGTGCCGCTGATGATCACTAGGCGGGAGCGCCTTGGTGAAGATATCAGCAGTGTTGGCCTTCGAGTCCACGTACACAAGCCGAAGCTGACCGCGCTGCTGAAGCTCTCGAGCAAGAAAGTAGCGAAGAGCAATGTGCTTCGTCCTGTGCTCCAGTCTGTGCTCCTGACACAAGGCAAGAGCCGCCTTGTTGTCACCATACAGAACTGGAGGAGAACTAGGCCGCTCTCCCAAGTCAGTCAGCAGGTAGGTGAGCCAGCGTAACTCCTGTGCAGCCATGGCTGTGGCGTAGATCTCAGCCTCACAACTAGAGCCGAGAACAGAGGAAGAGCGGGTGGACCGCCACGAGACAGAACCAGAGCCAAGGCTGAAGGTGTAACCCTGCGACGACCGCTGCGTAGCCAGGTCGTCCACCCAAGAAGCGTCCGAGTGACCAGTGAGGACAACTCTGTCGCGTCCTCCAAGCACCAGCCCCATGCCTGATGTACTGCACAAGTAACGCAGCACCCTCTTAGCAGCCTCCCAGTGCTCTCGCCTGTGTCTCCCAGGCGCAACGTAACGAGCAAGGATGCTAAGAGGGTACGCTAGGTCAGGTCGCGTGCAAGTCATCAGGTACATGAGGCAGCCTACAAGCTCTGGGTACGGGCCACTCGGCTCTACGGACTCGTCCGAAGGTGGAGCTGAGAGTGAGTGGCTGGTAGCCAGAGGTGTGGCCTGTGGTGAGGAGAACTGGAAGCCGAAGCGCTGAAGGACCTGCTGCACCATGTGTGACTGAGTCAAGGTGATGGTGCGGCGAGCTCTGTCCCGGGTGATCTGCAAGCCAAGGTAGCTACGCAGTTCACCCAGGTCAGTGCAGGTGTGTCTCTTCTGCAGCTCCGACTTCACACGAGCGAGTGCCTCAGTGTCAGCAGTAGCAAAGATCAAGTCGTCGACGTACACGAGAATGTAGAACGGCGGCAGCGACGTGTCTGTGCGCAGAAACAGCGACGGGTCAGCAGTAGACGGCGCGAACCCAAGA